ATTCAAAAATGAAAAGACTTATGGGACAACCTAATAGTTGTGATGAACCTGAAAAACTACGATATTTATAGCATTTCGTGGAAATTTTTTGAACCAATACTTACGTTTGCAGGATGCCGTTAGTAGCGGGAAGAGTCATAGCCTTCATTGGATGTTGCTTATATTTGTGTGTGGAATTCTTACCCACAGGAAGACGTTATCTTATGTTGGCATGTTACTTCCTCTTTGGTGTAGCGATTAGTGAGTTTTGCAATCTTCGGAGTATCACTTTTTTAGCAATATCGGGAAAGAATATGCTGATTTATTTGAAATAACTTTTCCAGGTTCTTCTACAGTTTTGCGAGCTTACATAGCTGCCGTCAGCTCGCCAGACGATCGAGCACGAGCCTATTCAGCATTTGTTGTTGCCAGCATGCTATCTGTTGTTGTCGGACCAGGTAAATAATTATAAAAGTGATCGATCACTGAATAAACGGGTTTTTGAATTGGATATACATCATTGTCCATCGACAGTAAAAACAGCGATGCAATAAGATTTCATTCAGGCCAAAAAATCACATGAATTTGTGGCTGGAGTTAGAATCATAGTTCTCAAATTTGAGCGCTAAAACTTGCAGATAGTTATATTTCAGCTATCATTCAAAAGGCGCAATAGAAATTCCATAAATTCTCTCGAGTGGTGGCTCATGCGCATCTAATTTCACCGATGGAATACGCGAGGTTCTGAATTGAAAAAAATTAGACGGAGAGCTACGGCCATCCCTTTCAGATTTTTGAGGTGTTTTGTTAGGCAGAAGTAACGAGAAAGAGACAAAAAATCGAAAACATATGCAGAAGAAAGAAAAAACGAAAAAATCAAGAAGTTTTTTGGCGAAATAGTTGGTTGAACTAAAAGTTCTGTAGCACCAGAAAAAAGGATTTCTTAGAAAATCGTAGCCTTTTCATGGTAGTCTTCGGAGGCATTCGCGTTTTTAGGAAGACTAAATCATGTATTATTTGATGTAATTGTTTACTCTCTGCTAAGCTTTGATTGCAATGATAAAAAATGACAAAGGAGATTCAAAAAATCAGATTCAAGAAAACACTTTCCATTTTTGTTTCTGGGAAGGTCCGTTATATTAAAAACCGTGTGATAAATTTCAAAACAGTCAATATCAAAAGTTTTTGATTATCTCTTTCCGACAGGTAGAAAATCCTGCTTTCCGAGCGTTTTGAAAAGTCATGATCTCTTGTCTTTTCGGTCCAACCGAATATGATAATACAAGCGCTTACAAACACTGAATTTGTTGTCATCGTGTACCTACATCATTGCCAAGCCTTCAGCTAGTCAAGAAACTCAAAAAAAACTGAGTTGCAGCATTTCCATCTCTTTATCCTCCTTGTTAATCCAAATATTAGAAATAATTCTTCACCGCATTTTCATCACAGGCAAAATCTACATAAAGACAGATTAAACGACTTATTTTTACTTATGATTTTTCAGTATGTCAACTGGCTTTTTCGAATATGCCATATCCCGGATACGTTATAATCGAAAACGCTTTGAAATTCCATATTTATTCGGCGCCTATCTGGGTGGCATCGTTGACCAATTTCGTCTCTATAGCCATAATCATCTACGGATTGAAGGACGTCCATGTAGCCGAGAAACTAGAGAAAAGTAAGTGCAGCCTCTAAGCACTCGGCATTAGCTGTGTAGGAAAACCTATCTGAACTATTTAAGAAAGTGTAAACGAACTTTCTATCAAAGTGCTGAAGGAAAAGATCAAAGCAGTCACGTCTATGAATCTACCATGGGGACTAATCTTCCTGTGCTGGTTGGAGAAAATGATTGCTCAGCTTTCGATAGTCACGCTATCCACGTAAA